GACCTCCCTGGTGGTCCAATGGTTAAGACTCCGTGCTTCCAATGCAGGGGACGCGGGTTCGATCTCTGGTCGGGGAACTAAGATCCCACATGCTGCAGGGCGTGGCCAAGAAGAAAATAAAATAAATGAAGGCTAGGCAGTGGGGGAGGGGTGGGGAGACAGTGTGAGCAGAGGGGAATCTATCTCGAGGCTAATGACGCTTAAGTTTCAAGGCTACTCACTCATGAGTTCCTCCACCACTCTGGGTGGGAGTCATGTTCATAGATTTTTGCAGAGTTTTTAGGAGATGCATTAGCTGCAATTATTAAGACCACATCAGTCTCTTTCCATTTCAACTTCCCCTCGATTAAATCCTCCCTCCCCCCAGTTTTGACATGACCGTGGGCATTTTTGAAAACCAACTAGGGGGAAATTGAGCTGAGGATACATTTACAGTGTGTTAAATGGATATTTTTATGTGACTTCCAATTGTTTCATTAAGTTTACTCGTTGGCTGGGTGTAGGAATGGTTTTAGGAGTACTCCCACTGCCTGACTCACCCTGCCAGGTGACAAGAAGGTGCAGGGCTAGTGGTCATGTCACGATAAGACTGTGTCCCACGGTGCTCACCTCCAGAAATTTGTGGGAAGTGTAGGAGAAACAAGTTGGAAACGTACAGAGCTGAAGATTGGTCTGTTAAAAACTTCTTCCAATTATCAGATGTGGAAAATTGTGAAATGGAGGACTGAATTCTTGACTTCTGATCAAAATTGAAACTGTCCCCTGCAGGAATATACCAGATAAAGCTACAGAAACGTATTATACGTTTTTTTTTCTTTTTTGATGGAAATTGTGGCAAATGGAATTTAATCCTGTGGGAGGTAAACAATAGTGGACATGTCTGTATGGGAAGTCGCATGATTCATGTCTCCTAATGTATCGGACTACGTCTTACCAAGACATTACCAATAACAGGTCGTGAAGCTAAAAATCAACCTTTCTAAATGGTCAACCATGCTGGATAAAAACCTGAACTCTCTTTCCATTCCCCCTCTGGACAATGGTATTTCCAGCTTACTGTTGCATGAAGAGACAATCAAAGAGCATGCAGCCAAAAAGGAAGAAAACTAGTATTTTAGAAGTGTGCCAGGCAGCTCGTTAACACTAACGAATAGCTTATTTTTCTGTATTTTGTATTTTCCCACTTTTCAAAGTTTGTAATGATTTACTTTCTCCTATTCATTTTTGCCTTTAGTTTTGTACTTGTCATTCTGCATTCACGTTCTTTCAAAGAGTGAACCTGATTCAGGCCCCAGTAAACCTGGATCAGCCCCCATGCTCAGGCTGCAGTGACGAGGTGGGAATGAGTGGCCTGCCTGGAGCAGAGGTGGAGAAGAGGGGTGTCAGGGCTGGAAGTGGAGCAGGAAGGAGGATGGGGATCCGGGTGAGGGGAGGGCAGGTCCGTCGAGGTTGACGGTGCCTGGTGGGTTCTGGTCAAGCAGAGTGACGTTGAGAGAGGGGCTCCTTTTCTCGGGGAACAGATGCTTTGCAGCTGCTTCCACCTCCTGTACCTGTAATGAGTGGAGAGATGATTAAAGACTAAGACAGGTGGTAGGTTCTGGAATCCTGAAAAAGTCAAAAATTTGTCAACATCTCTGAAACAGACTTATAAGAGCTGACATGGAACAGATGAAGGTTCTCGCAGTGTGAGTGCTTTCCAAATCTCTCAGGATTCCTCAAGGAACAGGGTAGCCTCCCAATTCATCAGGAGTTGAGAGTGGATCCTAAAAGCTCCATCAGGGAAGCATCAACTGAAATGAAACTGGAAAAGGTGCATTTTCCAAGAATACTGGCAAACATATGATGACATAAGATAAAATGCAAATTAAAAGGTGGCAGTCACACACGTACATACACAGATGCAGAAATTAGACTAAAAATATAAAAGGCAGAAAACATACAATGGTTTTATCCAAAGACAAATGACATATAGGGGAAAATATCTGTAACTTATATCACAGCCAGAGATTAATTTTCCTAATATATCAGAGTTACTATACATCGATTTTTGAAAAACAACAATCTACTAGAAAAATAGGCAGTTCATGAGAAAGGAGATACAGATGCCGCTGAGACATATGGAGAGATGTTCAACCTTATTCACAATAAGAAAATGCAAAATAAGACAGCATTGCAATATCACTTTCCAGTGATCAGATTGGCAGAGATAAAAGAAAGTCTGTAAAGATGCAGGGAAACAAGCTTTCTCATAAGTTGTTGGTAGGAGTGTAGATGCGATTTCTGTGGAGAGCAGTTTGGCAATATCTCCCCAAATTACAAGCACATATATACCCTTTGACTCAGGAATCTGACTTCTAAGAATTTATCCAGTAGATGTGGTCACATACCCATGGTATGACATGTAGACAAGATTATGTGCAGCACTCTTTGCAATAACAAAAGATGGGAGACAACCCACATGTCCATCTAGAAGGGACCAAAGAAAGAAATTACTGTATACCCATACCTCGGAATATTACTCAGCTGTAGAAAGAGATAAAGAAGTTTGTTTTGTCAGCAGACATGAAATGATCATCAAGATATATAAAGTGAAAAAAGCAAGATGTAGAAGAAATATAAAGTACTCTATCTACTATTACTGTTTTAAAAAGGATGGGTGGGAGGAAGGTATCCCTGTGTGTATTGTTAGAACAAGAATAACATGTCAATAAAGTTACATCGGAAATTCATATATTAGTTGCCTCCAGAGGAAAGCTGTGGGTACCTGAGGGATGAGGATGGAAGTAAAGAGCCTTGTGCCTTCCCGAAAAAGAGTGGAGTCACAGTAATTGGGGTCAACTCAGCAAATGTTAATTGAGGGCTGGCCTTATGGGAGGCACGGTGGCAGGTGCCAGGGACCCAGCAGTTAGTAAGACAGACAAGTGCCCTGCCCTCACAGAACTTACACCCTAGTGAAGGAAACAGGCAACGAACAAATAAAATATAAAGATGGACAGACAGATGGAGGGGGAGAAAGGGAGAGACAGACAGATGGAAAGAGAGAGAAAGGGAGAAAGAGGAAGAGAGAGAGAGGAAGGCACTTTGTAGAAAATTAGAAATGGCATTGGAGAGTACATACAGGTGGGAGATCTATTATCTTAGACAGGATGGTGGTCAGAGAAGGTCTCCTGTCATCCAGGCATCGGGCTGAGCATCCAGGGGCCGCGTGTAAAGGCCTGAAGGAGGTAATTCTGAGCAGGCAGCAGGGAGGCCAGTGTGGCTCAAGCCGAGAGAGGGAGGGACTGTGACAGGTGGCTGAGCTGTGTCCCCGCATTGCACAGCCCTTCTCCAGGAGCTGTGCAGCCTGCCTGGGCACTGGTGGTGGTGTCAACTCCTCAGGGTTCCTGGGAAAGACCAGCCCCCTTTCTGACTTTAGCACAGGACAGCTCCAGCTTTAGAACTGTGCCAGGTAAACGGGTTAGTCCATTCTACATTGTGCAATGATGTCTGTCTTTTTAGCTGATGCCTGTAATGACGTTTCTCTGAAATAACCTTCCAGGACCAAGGGATCCCTCTGATAACTCCAGTGCCACATCCCAAATGTAGCATTTGCTCCCATAGCACAAAAGCAGCCCTCCGTTCTCCTAGAGAGCCTGTGTATCTTGGAAGGAAACAGATGCAAACACCTCTTCCATTTTTGGCTATTCCTGAGCCTGTGCGTTCCGGAAGGAGTTGCAGATGAAGCAGCCTTCTGTGCTTCTCTTCTGAATGATGGCTGGCCCCATGGGACTGCAGCTGCCCCAGTGGGTGCATCTTCTCTGTATGACACGTGCTATGTAAACTCTCTGATCACACTGGGTCCTCGCTTTTTAAGACAACAAATCCCCAGGGGAAGAGGGTTGCATCTTGCATAATTGGACAGTTGGCTGTATCCAGAGAGAAGTGTTTACAGAGCACATTGAAAGCCAGCCCAGGGACCCACATGTTTGCTCAGCATCCACATGGCAAACAGCGAGAGCCTCCCTTGAATGCAGGGGTCAGAAAGGGATTTTCTCAAATCTAAACCAGCCTCTGGGGTGATGGCTCATTCAAAGGCTGCAGTGGAGGAAAGGGTATTCTGGAATATTGGTGCCAGGGCTTAGCTCATCTGAGATGGACATAAAGAGTCTTTTCTGGGGCTTCCCTGGTGGCGCAGTGGTTGAGAGTCCACCTGCCGATGCAGGGGACACGGGTTCGTGCCCCGGTCCGGGAAGATCCCACATGCCGCAGAGCGGCTGGGCCCGTGAGCCATGGCCGCTGAGCCTGCGCATCCGGAGCCTGCGCTCCGCAACAGGAGAGTCCACAGCAGTGAGAGGCCTGCATACCGCGCAAAAAAAAAAAAAGAAAAAAAAAGAGTCTTTTCTATGTCATTTTGCTTTTTTAGCAGCAGAATTGACCCTGGAATACTGAGGGGGCCCTGGGCCTGTTTCAGGGTCCAGGTGTCTGGAACAAGAGCCCAGAGGACAACTGTCAGAAGCAGGGGGGTGGGAGAAGGCGGGAGGCCCACTGGCTGTGCTGAGAACAGGACCCCAGGCTTTCTGCACATGATTAGTGATGAGGAGCTCGTTGCCTAGCAACAGCAGCCCCTTCCCCCTTCTATCCAGACCCCTCAGGCTGCTTGTAATGTTTGGTGACATTTTTCTTTTCAGAGCAGAGACACACAGTCGCCCCCTTAATTAGCTGAAGATGGTGCCTACCGCTCCCCCCCTTTACTGGCTTATTGATCAGATCCTGATTAGAAATCATCCCCCCAAAGCGTTTAATTATTAATTACACATTAATAATTGCTGTGTCAAGATAACCCCACAGATAGCTGTTGCTGTAAGTGGAAAGCTTAGACCAAGACCTGACACACAGGAAGTGCTGTATAAAAAGTACCTGTTCAAAGAATTAACAGGATCTCTTCTAGGAGATTCGAGGATTAATACCTACACTGAGCAGATGTGACTCTTTTCAAAGAGCTTCTCTTTATTTTCTTTCAGACTCTCAGAATGCTCCTGCCAGAAGAATACTTAGACAGCATCCCCCCAAACTGCCCCCTTTTACAGATGGGGAAACCAAGGCTCAGCAACCTTGCCAAAGTCACACAGCTAATGACACCAGAGCTAGACTGAATCCAGACCTCCTGGTCCCCAGCCTCTTCCCACCACACTTCTGGTTTCGAAATTTAGTGTTCCACAAAGATCTCACCAAGGGGTCTGTGAAAAATGCAGATTTATGATACTGACTGCCCCCCCAACCCCCTAATAGTGTCCTAAGGCTGATGTAACTAATTACCACAAACGTAGTGGCTTAAGACAGCACAAGTTTATTATCTAAAGCTCTGGAGGTAAGAAGTCCTCAAGTGGGTCTTACAGACGTAAAAGCAGGGTGTTAGCAGAGCTGAGTTCCTTCTGGAGGCTCTTGGGGAGAATCCGTTTCTTGTCTCTTCCGGCTTCTCAAGGCTGCCGGCTTTCCTTTGCTCATGGCTGCATCGCTTGGATCCCTGCTTCTGTCATCACATCTTCTCTGCCTCCTTCTTTCCCTTCTAAGGACCCTTGTGATTACATGGGGCCCCTCTGAATAGTCCAGGTTAATCTCCCATCTCAAGATCCTAAATCTAGTCACACCTGAAAAGTCCCTTTTGCCATGTAAGGTCACATAGTCACATGTCCTGGGGATTGGGACATAGACATCTTTGGGGGTTCGGTATTCTGCACCCCAAGGTTCTGAGTCTGTCTCCTGGGGTGGAGCGCAGGAATCTGCGCCGTGAAGAACCCCGTGACTATTCACCGGGGGCTCCTAGAGCACACATAGGGGAGCCCCTGCTGCCCCTCTCTCTCTCTCTTCACAAGAAGATGATGCCATTGGCAGGACGAAGTCCTTGTTTCCATTTAGTAAGATGAAAAGCTCAAGGCTGAGAAAGGTGAATTTCTAATTCAAGGTCTCACAGCTTTAGCCACGTGCCCTTGTCCCCACTCCCAGTAAATATCCTTTTCACGACAGCCCAGGCATCCGCGGTTCTCCTTCTACGTGGTGGCGCTTGCTCTGCTCCTCTTGCACTCGAGGGAACCAAGGTCCGAGACGGGTCACGTGGCCTGGCCGAGGCTCCACTTCCTGGGCACGCCTTAACCCGGCTCCCCCGGGAGGTCTAGGAGACCTCAGACACCCCCGCTGCAATCCCGCCCGCACGGAGACGTATCCTTAGCAATCTGCGGAGAAACACTTTCTACCACAGAGTGAGATTGATGGGCTACATTAATTTCAAACACGCGAGACAGAAATGACATCTAAGCCTTTTGGTGGATTATCTACACAGAGCAGGCTGATGGGAGGCAGGGGTGTGGTGGTGACAGGCCTCTTCTGTTCCAGTCCCAGGAGGAAAAAATAACAAAGGAGACGCTGCGTTGCTGGTGCGCACGTGTGCGAATGAACACTAGGGGGCAGAGTTTGTCCAGGAATGGGAGCGCCCGTGCCGCTTTCCTGTGCTTTTAAGGACGATTTTAGAGGGGCGAGCTGATAGCAGGAAGGAGGGTCATTGCCTTTAATAGCTTCTTAGTCAATAGGTTTCTAATTGGGCTGTTAATCTGGAAATAAGTATAAAATAAGAAACCCAGGGGGTGGATTGAGAGCGGATGCAATGTGAATAATGAACATCCCACGAATGACTTTTTTAAAGGGTCAGTTGTCTCATAATCTTTGTTCTTCTCTTGACCGCTACATGGCAATTTGTCGTACGGAAGTAGGTCTCAGTATTGAGAAATGCCAAGTAATATTTTAATGGTTTTCTAGTACATAGTTTCTGCTGCTGAAAAACATTGAGAAATAGATATATATACATTAAATATACATCTGCACATATATATGCAGATTAATGTGATCACGTACTGACCCATAGACACTCCTCCTCACACCCGCTCCCATGCTGTCTCACCACCAGAATGGAACAAGCACTGCAGAGGTGGAAGGACAACAGCTACACGCTGATCCCTTGCTTGGGAGTTAACCCCAATAACACGCGACTCAGCCATCTGTTAAGGCAGTGACATTTAGGCATGTTTGAATCTACAGTGGCCTGAGGAGATTCTCTTGTTTAGAACACTAGTAACTACCATATGACTATAGTTAATAACACTGTACTGCGTGTTTGAAAGTTGCTAAGAGAGTAGATCTTCAAAGTTCTCATCACCAGGGGAAAGAAACTTTTGGGACTATGTGTGGTGATGAATATTAACTAGCCTTATTCCGGTGATCATTTTGAAAAATGTACAAACATTGTATCATTATGTAATGCACCTGAAACTAATATATTGTTATATGTCAATTAGACCTCAATTTAAAAAAAAAGAACCAAAAACAAACAAAACAATAACTACCATAAATGAGAACTCATTAGGTACCAGGCACTGAGGTTTTCTTGCATGATCTCACTTAAGCAATATAACCCTATAAGATAGATACTATTATTATTATCTTTATTTTCCAATTGAGGAAACTGAAACTAAGAGGGGTTAAGTAAGTTGTCCAAGATTAGCTAGCTAGGAAGTGGTTCTTCCAAGACTCAGACTGAGATCTGACACCAAAGCCCAGGTTCTTAGCTCCTGTCATTCTGGAAGCCCGAGCAGTCCTCTACTGATGGAAAAATCCTGGGTCATATGTTCTGACACTTTACATTCTAATCTGAGCATGGTGCTGATTTGGTCCATAGTCTTAGGAAAGTGAGTCCACCTCTCTGTTGAAACCTAAGATCTTATAGTGAGGCAAGTACTGAATAACTCAAGCAGTCAAAATAAATATAGTATAACCTGTATGTTAGAGACTTGGGGCATCAAGAGCCCAGATTAATGTAGAGTCCAGGGCTATCATCGGCCTTGAGATCTGCAGGAACCTGGCACTGGGTTCAGAAGAAGGAAGTTTCTGTAGTACGGAAATGTAACAGGCTGGTGTGACCTGAGTAGAATTATCCTGTCAAGCTCTGGGTTTAAGAATATGGATGGATCCCTCTCCTGCTCACGGGCCCTAGAGTTTGGGGGCCGTAGACGTGCAGGAGGATGGCCATATGTTGGGCAGACAGACCTGTGCATTGGACAAATGCTGTCCAAGGCTGTCACCTGGGGGTTGGCTGGAAGAAGTCACATGTTCCTTAAAGGACCACCAGAAGCCTACTGGCACTGTGCCAGAGCACGCCCCAGGGCCACTTGGCCAGCCACAGGGAACAGCAGTCCTGCCACTGGCAATCACAAAGAGGCATACTGAGCTTTGGCTTTTCTTCCTCTTCCTCCAAAGCCAGAAGGGTTAGCATAGGGAGGGAGGGGAGTGGGGAAGAGAAGACCCTGTCTCCCCTCCACTTCCCCACTCCCAAACCTTCTAAAGCCTGTGACCTAGTCTGCGTTAGAGGCAAAGAGGAAAGCTTTGGATCAAATAAAGATTGAAATTTTAAATTGAACAGAGCTGAAGCTTAATAACTGAAGAGGAACCATCTTGATAACTAAAATGATGAAAAATTATAGAATCAGACTGGTATATACATAGCTAATGGAGCCTGCTACCCAGTGGGAAAAGGCGGTTCCACAGAGCATAACTGATAGATCTTTTTTGAGGGGGGAGAATCCTTTTCATGTTTATTCCCCCAGAGAATTGACAATCTCCACTAAACCTGTTGCTCAAAGGAAAATCAATAAATAATACATATTCTGCCACAGGTGAAAGACTGGAGCCCGCTGTTCCAAACTGCACAGTTACATCCTGCGCATGCGTTGGTAACAAGGCTCTCCAGGACCTGGGTCTTGCAGGAGCATCTTGGGTACCTCAGATAATGGCGGAAAACGCCAAGGGTTTCTCTTCTTATCAAGATTGTAATTATATGTCTTTCTTCTGCTTTCACAACAAATGCTAGGTTAGGATATTTGTCTTCTTAAGCGCCCTCCCTCTGCTCAAAGACTTCTGCCCTCTGAGAGGTCTGGATTAATCCCCTCCATCTCCCCCCTGAACTTTCAGAGCTCATCTTGAACCCTGGGCTTCAGAATGGCTAACACAGTATGAACTTAATTTGCAGAAATAATTATGATAGTCTCCCCCCAACTCTGAGTTCCTTCCACCCATTGACTATATAGATTTGGGCAGTACAAGAACCCATAGACAGATATATCAGTGGAAAAATGGAACCAAGGACTATATCACAATCCACTCTGTGATAAAAGATGATGTCATCAATTCATGGGAAGAGGAAAGAATATTCCATAAATAGTGCTTGGATAGTTGGTTAACTACATGTGGAAAAACAAAAACATTTAAATTCTCACTTCATACCCATCAATTTCCAATGGATTAAAGACTTAGAGGTAATAAATAAAAGAATAAAAATGCAGAAGAAAATGTAAGTAAATATTTACCAGACCTTGAGATTGGGGAATAACTTTACAAAGATAACAACAATAGAGAAATCACATAAGAAAACATGATAACTTTGAATATATAAAATTTAAAAATGTATACACTTTTTATATTTAAATAATATAAATACGGTAAAAAAGTATGGTGGTAACATGGCCCATTAATCCCCATTGCACCAGCTGACAGTGAGCCAACAGCCAGTATGTGAGTGAGACCATCCTAGACCATCTGTTCCCCAGCTATGCCACCAGCTGACAGCAGATGCATGAATGAGCCCAGCCGAGATCAGCTACACCTGGTCCAGGTCATCAGCTACGTCTTGCTGACCCATAGATTTGTAAGCAATAGTAAATGTTTTCTGGTTTAGAACACAAAGTTTTAAGGCGATTTGTTAGGCAGAATTAGATAAATGATGCAAAATGAAAATGACAAATTGGAACAAGTCTGTGCAAGAAATATGAAAGATAAAGATTAAAATCTTTATTATGAAATGAGGTCTTATAAATCAACAAGAAAAGCAACATCTGCCACAGAGAAATGGCTATAGGACATGAGGAGATAAGTCCTTAAGGAAGAAAAAGAAATGGCTTAATAAACTAATGGGAAAAGATTAGACTTCACAAAAATGAAAAGTGCAATCTGAATATTAAACCACATACGTATTTTTTACTTATTAAATTAACAACAATGTATTAAAATATTCAATCATGATGAGTGTAGTAGTGGGATGGGCACTCTCATATCTATGTATGGAAGTATAATTAACAAACCATTTTTTGAATGTAATTTAGCAAGATTTAGAGAAAGCCTTTGGGGCAGATGCAGTTGGTTGGTGTGGAACACTACATTATTGTTCCCAATTCCTCATCATGCTCTTTGCGTGATTCTGTAGTTCCTTTTCCTAGAAGCAAAGTGTACTTTCTTGCATATTGACATTGTGCTTGGCTTGTGGCCTGTTTTTGGCCGATGGAGTGTTAACAAATGTGTCCTGCAAGCAGAGGCTTCAGCATCCTCTGGTTTCAAGTTTGTTCTCTTGCATTTCTCGTTTTACCACAAGAAGAACTTCCCCTGTGTGCTCCTGCCCCTTCAGTCTGAGACCCAGAGTGAACACGTGGATTTGGGAAGATGGAAATGGCAGTGGCAGAACAGTGTTTGGAACTTGCATAATCTCCACATAGAAACAGAGAGCACTTGAGTAGCAAAACCAAAAACCCACAGATCTTTTCCAACAAAACCAGGTGAGAAGGGATCCCTGTGGACTCTGAAATACAAGCAGGTGAGGAGAAATCATTGATAGTCACAAGAAAAGCAGTGGGACATCTAACAAACCTGAGAACAAGAAACCCCTAAAATATCTAACAGGTATTCACTGGAAAGCTCAGCAAGCTAGTTTTAGGACAACAGCTGAAACTCTGTGCCGACTACAATTAGCAGGTGAGTACACAGTCCTGGAGTAAGTCTAGCCCCTGTGAACTCTCAAAACTCACCAGCGAGGGCTCCCTTTGAGGACAGGGCCCTTCCCTGAGGATACTGCTGGGAGTGGGATTAAAACTGAGCAGACACCATTGTAAAGCAATTATACCCCAATAAAGATGTTAAAAAAAAAAACAAAACTGAGCAGAACAGGCACTGTAGCGATGAAGGAAAGAAAGTCCAGATAAAAGTGGATGAGGGGAACATATCCAGGAACTCTTACAAAGCAAGCTGTTATATTTTTGCACTACATGAAACACAACAGAATGAGTAACTTTGTGAAGTTAAAAAAGTTATCCTTGGTAAAAACCTCCTTGTAAGAGGTCAAATCTTATACAAAGTTATTCTAAGAAAAATTAGAATAAGGAGCAGAATAATATCCCTACAGATAATGAAAGCAGGCCAGAAATATTTGCTTTAAAAAAATAAGAAAGAAAAAGAAGAAAAATTTAATGTACTATTTCAAAATGAGCTAAAAGACATTAAGAAATGATACAAAATATGAAAGACTAAATTAATGAGAAATAGAAAAACTCAGAAATGAAGTGACAGAAATTAGGAAAAACATAGAAGTAAAATAAATGAAGGCTAAACTACAAGGAATCCAGTGAATAAATACACAGATAATGCCTTAAGAGAAATAGAAGGTTAAAATGAGGAAATTTTTAAAAATAAATTAAGAAAGAGATAAAGATTTGAGAAACAATACAACTATTCAATAAATATAAACAAAGAAGATCCAGCGTATGGTGAACAAAAGTTCCTGAAGAAGAAAAGCAAGAGAATTGAACAAATACTAAATATAATTCAAGAAAAATTTTTCTGAAATAAACTCAAAAGTACATATTAAAAGAGCACACTACACATAAGAGAATATTGAACTGAATGACCAATACCAAGAGAAATTTTAGTGAGATTTCTGGATTTTAAAGAAAAAGGAAAAAAACTTCTTTAGGCATCTAGGTTGAAAGAACATGTGGCTTATAAGGGAAGGAAGATTGTTATTAGACTTTTTGATTGTAGCACTTTATGTCAGAAGAAAATGGAATAGTATTATATATTGTGACATCCAAGTAAAGAAAATGTGACTTTCAAGAACACAGAGAAGCTGTTATGAACATGAAGGAACTTAGGGAATATTCTTCCTATGAGTTTTTCCTCAGGAATCTATTAGAGAACAAACTTTAGGTAACCAAAATGACTAGAGAGACTTTGATATAAGGAATTATGGTGAGCATTACATATATAGTTACTTGTAGTTGAAGACCAAATAAGAGTAAAAGAGAGAATATAGTATGTGATGATTGTATGTTTTGACAATATGGATGTAGTACAATTAAAAGAAAAATGAAGTGAGATGGGGGTAGGGTATGCAAAATTTAAAAAAATTGTTTCTGGTAACATAGTTGGTGGTGCTTATTCTGAGTATTACTATTCTGAAACCATTCTGTGTATAATGTAGGATAAAGTAAATGAGCAATCATGGAATATTCTGTCATTCCTTATGTCCTTGAGAACCATACCAGAATTCTTGTTATAGATAAAGGAGATTCAGGAGTAATATAAAAGAGATTAAAGAATAGCCCCGTAGTCCTGAATTTGGATTGGAAGTATCACTGTGAACTCATGAAATGTTTCATCTTAAAAAATATATTTCCTAGTTCTGTTCACTATAAAAGACGAGAAATATTGACCAACCCATCCAATAGCATAAGAGATTGTGGTTATGAAATGCCATTTTCCACTAAAAGAAAACCAGCACTTCTTGAAGAAATGACTGATTCCAAATCTGTGGCAAAAATTATCCTGGAATATTTTGTCATATCAGACAGCAAGAAATCTGTCAAAGACAATTTGGGTTATGTCAAAGTGACATAGAAGTCAACTAGAAGAAGTTCCCAGGGGTCAAAGATAAGAAAATTTAAGCTGCAATAAGGATAAGAATTGCCATGGATCAAAACACATTGAATATATTCAAATTCATGAATTCATAATAATAAACGAATTGGCCTCCTTTGGAGGATAATAGGGAGTTAATTCATTCTTTTGAAAACTAGATAAATAAAAGAAAAGAAACAAGCATTATCCCCCCTTTCCCATATAAGCTGTACCACTGGGTAGCCATTAGGAGATGAGAGGATGTGTTTTCTCTTAAAAAGTAATTTATTTAATAAGTAAGGTGAAACGATAGACTTATTATCATTTTGCAACTCAAATGAATTAATCGGTGTAGGCATTGAGCATTAAAGGCTGGTAACATAAAAAAAAAGCAGTGAAAAACAGGTATCACCTATAGACTTGCCATAAAGTAAAAGCAGGTTAAACCTGATTCTATTCAAGCCTCTAGATTCAGCTGCCCATTTGCAGGAAATATGAAGGACAAAGGAATGTGCTGAGTTGTACTATGAATATGCAATCAGCAAAATCCAGGCTGTGGGACATTCTATAGATAAATAGGCCCAGGTTCTTAAACAGATAAATTATAAGAAAAGAGAAATATAGAAAAGGAAATGGTATATTAAAAAGGACTTAAATGATATGTCAATTAAAAAAATACTAAACCATAGGGTCTATGGATATGTACATGAATGATTAAGCCATAAACCAATGCAAGGAAGTGATTACTGTAAGAGTCAGAATTGTGGTTATTTGTGGGGAAGGAGAGGGGTATATTTGTGATGGGGCATATAGGGAGAGTTCTGGGTGTCTGGCAAAGTTCTATTTCTTAACCTGGGTGGTGGTTACAAGGGTGTTTGTTTTATAATAATTCACTAAGATATATATTTATTTTGTATTGTTTTCTTTATTTTTATTTTACAATGAAAAGTGAAAACAAAAATGACCAAACATAGAGCAGACCTGAGCCCAACCATAGGCAAGTCTAGCCAAATCCAATCTAGCTTAGCCATTTAATTGATCCAAATTGTGGTCAAGAAAAAATGTTTATTGTTTTTTACCTCTAAATTCTGGGGTGATCTGTTACACAGCACTATTGTGACTTCTGCTGTGTCATACAGTTGACTACACAGAAGCTATATCAAACCTCTTATTTCATTATTGAATCTGGAAAGGGAAAGATATTGTTTTCCTAGCCTCCCAACAGTTAATGATGGCCATTCGATACAGTACTGGGAATAAGCCAGTGAGAAAATTCTCATAGAGGGTTTGTGGGAAAGATTTTCTTTTCTAACTAAAGGATAGCTGTATATGAGGAGATTCTCTCACTTTCCTGACTTCATATATTCCTGCTTTCCTGAATTTTGGTTGTGTGACAGTGTGATGCTTAGAACCATCTTGCAATCATGAGCAACAAGCACAAGGATGAAAAGTCAATATTCTGAGGATGTTAGAGAAAAAAATAAAAGAGTCTGATTTCTTGATGACATCATTGAGTTTTCCTGCCTTCTTTCAGACATCTTAGTTATATAAGCAATAAATATCCCAGTTGTTAGTTAGCTTTTCTGTTACTTGCAGCTGACATTCTATTACTTCCTAACTTACTTTAAAAAAATGTTCATATACTTTAACCCAGTAGTCCCATTTTCATCAACTTAGATTCAGAAAGTAATCCAAGATATAGTCAAAGGATGTTTATCAAGGCATTTAGCTATAAAGAGGAATAACAGAAAATAATCTAAAAGTTCAGTATAAAAAATGATTATATAAAATATCAATAGGATGACATTATGCATCTGTTAACATTTTTTTTGGAGAATATTTAAGGATACAGAAAATGCTTATGAATAGAAAAAATTAATATATAAAATTCACAGGGGATTTCAACGAAACATTTAGAGAAGAGTAAACACCTATCCTTCTCAAATTTTTCAAAAACTGCGGGGACTTCCCTGGTGGCGCAATGCAGGGGACATGGGTTTGATCCCTGGTCCAGGAAGAACCCATGTGCCATGGAGCAACTAAGGCTGTGTGCCACAACTACTGACCCTGCGCTCTAGAGCCCGTGAGCCACAACTACTGCCCATGTGCCACAACTGCTGAAGCCCACACAGCTAGCCTGTGCTCCTCAACAAGAGAAGCCACCACAATGAGAAGCCCACGCACCACATCGAAGAGTAGACCCCGCTCACCACAACTAGAGAAAGCCTGCACACAGCAACAAAGACCCAATGCAACCAAAAATAAATAAACAAAAATAAAATTTAAAATTAAAAAACACAAAAAACTGCAGAGGTCTCATTCTATGAGGCCAGTACCACCGTCATACCAAAACCAGACAAAGATATCACAAAGAAGAAAATTAAGGCTAATATCACTGATGAACCTAGATGTGAAATCCATTAGCAAACTGAATATTAGCGAACTGAATTCAACAATACATTAAAATGCTCATACACCATGGTCAAGTGGGATTTATCTCAGGGGTGCAAGGATAGTTCAATATCTGCAAATCAACCACATTAACAAATTAAAGAATAAAAATCATATGACCATCTCATATCAATAGATGTGTCTCAATAGATGCAGAAAAAGTGTCTGACAAAATTCAACATCCATTTATGATAAAAACTCTCAACTAAGTGGGTATAGAGAGAATGTACCTCAACATAATAGTGACCATATATGACACGCTCACAGATAACATCATACTCAACAGTGATAAACTGAAAGCATTTCCTTTAAGATTAGGAACAAGACAAGGATGCCTACTCTTACCAGTCTTCTTCAACATAGTATTGGAAGTCCTAGCCACAGCAATTAGACAAGGAAGAGAAATAAAAGGAATTCAAATTGGAATGGAAGAAGTAAAACTGTCACTGTTTGCAGGTGACATAATATTAATACTATATATAGAAAATCCTAAAGATGCCACCAAATAACTCCTAGAACTCATCAATGAATTTGGTAAAGTTGTAGGATACAAAATCAATATACAGAAATCTGTTGCATCTCTATACACTAAGAACGAACTATCAGAAAGAGAAATTAAGAAAACAATCCCATTTATAATTGCATCAAAAGAATAAAATACCTAGAAATAAAACCTAACTAAGGAGATGAAAGATCTATACTCAGAAAACTATAACACACTGATGAAAGAAATTGAAGATGACACAAATGGAGAGATATATTGTGCTCATGGATTGGAAGAATTAATATTTTGTTAAAATGTCCATACTACCCAAGGCAATCTATCCATACAAATTCAATGCAATCCCTATCAAAATACCAATGGCATTTTTCACAAAACTAGAACAAATAATTCTAAAATTTGTATGGAAACACTAAAGATCCCAAATAGCCAAAATAATATTGAGAAAGAAGAACAAAGCTGGAGGTAGCATGCTCCCTGGTTTCAAACTATACTACAAAGCTACAGTAATCAAAACTGTATGGTACTGGCACAAAAGCAGACACATTAGATAAATGGAACAGAATAGAGGGCCCAGAAATGAACCCACTTGTATATGGGCAATTAATCTATGACAAAGGAGGCAAGGATATACAATGGGGAAAAGACAGCC